TATTCTTTTCCGCGATATATCAGCTTTCGATATTTATTTTCAGATATGAAATTCGTATCATAATCGATTTATTTTTTAAAGTTCTGCCGTTCGCTTATGCGTCACTTCGTGTATTTCTTAAATTTAGAAAAAAAGTAGGTACGCAGTAGGCTGTATGAGTTTAGTCTATGACCTGCTTGACTTTTTTGTTTGTCTATGACAATTACACTGCTTGTTGGTTTGGTTGGTATCACCGAGTGTCATATCAGATAAATAGGTACTCGTTTGTTTGAATAATCTAATTTTTGTTGTGTTGATAATGTTGTTTTCTTGGCTTTATGTACCTATTTTAAATAATAAAACTGATGTCAGAACAGCCAGGTGTGTATTTGCTTTAAAATTTCGAATATTTTGAAAATTTATTTGAATTTTCATTGATAATCGTTTATTACGCAGAAAATATCGATATGTTTTTGTCGATATTAATCGATAAATTAGAAAAATATCTATACCATATATATCGATATTTTTCCCTATTTACCATCCCTATAGTATAGTTCAGCCCTATGGTTCAGCCCCGCGATTCTGTAACAATCCAGATCCGAATTCGAATTCACTCATGTGACCGAATTCTCGTCATTTAGTACAGAAATCATATTGATTCCATTTTTTTGTATAAAAACACTAAACAAAATTGATTGATTAAACGTGTCATAGATATTTTAATCCTATATCATTTCGAAACTCACTTCACTTATTCCCGAAAAATTTTCACCAATTCAAGTTTGAGCGGATGCCGCTTTTTGAAGTGAATTCGGACACCAGACTGATTTCGAAATCGGGTTTGAAGTTTTACAGAATCGCAGGGCAGAACTATGAACATAAATATCACTATCGTGACCAAACTCAGTTTCGTAATCACTAGCTGGAAAAATTATAAACCGGTCCATTTCTTTATGTACCAGCCCAGCGATTTTAAAATATTTATCTTAAAGATGGTCCACATATTTACATTATTTAAAGCAATCTTCTGGGGTTATACGTATTGTTATACACATACAAGTATGTTAATACATAATGTAAAACAATTATTATACACATCGATTAATCGATTACTGTGAATGCTTTCAGATTTATTCCACTGTATTTTAAAGCCACCCAAAATAATAGTTAAAAACCAATTTTAAGTCGATGTTTGCATGCAAAAGTTTAAGTGTGCATGCAAAATTTATAGAATGAAACTATCTGTACCCGCGATTTCGTCTGCGTGGAAAGTAGCCTTAGTAAATTCCAAAATTGGTCTAACCGTTTCAGAGTTTAATCGGAACAAAGCGACAGAAAAAACTGTAAAAAATATTACTTTGATATAGGTATGTACCATGTATACTTACATGTGCATTTAGTAAGAAACGGTTAATTTGTATTTGTTAAAATAAAACTGTAAGATCCGTTCATTCATTCATCGGGAGTTCCCCGACCAAAGAGTAAAGTTACCTATTTGTATTAGAATATCTACTAATAATTACACTCTACATACTAATATTCACACTCGCGATTCGCTATGGGTTGCTGAGCCATCGAAGTAAAGTAAGTGGGTACTATATTAACGTTTTAAACAATTCCTATTGCTAACGTTTAAAGAAATAATCGATGGTTAATAGTTGATTAGGAAATAATAATCGATAGCAACTGATTATTTAAAAATCAATTAATCGATTAATGGTAATCGATTTCGCACACCAAATATTAGATGTCAAACGAGTGTAAATAAAATACCGAATTCAATAGTAAATAACACACAGCTAGCAACCCAAACTATAAATAAAACAATAATAACGACACTATGCCGGTCTGTCATTTTAGTTCCACGAATTACCGTGGGACTTTTTTGTCAGACTGGTCCACCCCCAAAGTACATAGGGCTACTCAAATCGATATGGCGTAATTTCAGCACGTTGTTAAGGGTGTTTTTTTATTTATTTAAAATAGACTCGCTCTTTGTGGAGCCAGAAAAAAGCTATTTATGTACGCCTTAAGTAGTGTGGGATAAATGCACTCGGACTGAAATATACGCGAAGGGAGCTCCACGGTTTGCGAGCTTAGTCACACATTATGCTTAGTTAATATTCTGAGACATTATGTACCTGTTTGTAATATACAAGAATTTTGAATATAGATATAAATTTCTTAGTGATATAGATATTCAGCAGTTTGACTCTTAGAGAATGCCTTTTTGGCATTAAGTCCGCTATTTTTTATTTTATAGGAAAAAAGATTAAGAAAATAAATATATAATATTTTAAGAGTCGTTAATTCAAGCAGTTAATAACATTAAAATAGTTTAAATCAGTTTAAGTCGTCCGATAGCCAACGATACATGATCCTACCTAAGATAAGCCGCCATGTACTTTAGCGCCATCTACGCGTCTCAGTTGATATTTCATATACACTTTTTGTTGCTTGCGAACTATTGTGGGAATGACACTTAAGTTTATTCTGACGTGTGGAGATGGCATAACTGCTAATGACAGAACACATTTACTTCAAGAGCTGTAATAGATTTCATTTTCATTTTACATGTAGAAATTTATTTATTCACTTGACATTGGCAGAATTGTGCGAAATGCGCAGATAAGCCATTAATAAAAGAAGAAGAAGAAGAAGCTGTAAATAAATTGCAATATATAAATAGATGGATGTAGGACGTACCTGTGATTCCGTACAAATGAAATACCTATTTCCAAATGTAAAAGATTGTAGTGACTTTTCAGACAAAATTACAGATCAAAAGTGACAATATATATTGTTTAAATAAATACTGAATATTAGTTTTAAATTAAAATTGCATAATATAGTTAATACAATGATCACTTCGGTACTTCATTCAGATCAAATAACTTTTCATCTCACCTGAGTGAGGAAATAATTAAATGCATAGATAAAATTTACAATCATAATATAATTTTATTTTATTACATCAATTTTGCATTCACAATGCTATACTGAAAAATATGCTTAATGAAACTTGCTTGAAAAATCCACTATGTCTCTTTCGCAATCCAGGCGACTGCTTTAATTACTGAGCTACCCAGGACTTAACAGGACCTAATACAGAGCGTATTTGAATCAATTCATAATTTCTTCTTTATCAATAGTTTAATTATTCTTAAAATATTTCTTTCCGCCGTTTGGGTAGATTGCGTGAACATGATGAAAATGCGCTTTGTAGTAGCAAAAAGTAGCAGTGCTTGAAAAATTCGTCAGTTCCGTTAGGTCCTGTAGTTTTTTATGCATATTTCATTAAGAAAATACTTTTATTTCAATTTAGGATTAACTACGACTTTATAATTTTAGTCATTTCTGTTGGCGACAAATAAAACTTTTCGTCGCTGGTATCACTCATTATACTTTTCACTTGTTTTTAAGTTTTTTATTTTTAACCTAAGGTTTTATATTATCAACTAGCTCGTCAAGCTCGTCCCACCGGAGATCTCATCTATGCCCTTAGACTAGTTTGAGGTCAAGAGTGAGCCCACTGTCAATAAAAATAATAAAACTAGCCTTCAACCAGTGGCTTTGCCCGTGTGATCTAAAGTCCATAAAAACTTTCATCCACCAATTTACCCCCTTAGGGGTTGAATTTCATAAAATCCCGTCGTAGTGAGCAACTACGTCTTTAAAAGAACCCGCATGCAAAATTTGGATTTCCTAGCACTTGTAGTTTCAGAGATTGCGTGATGAGTGAGTGTCGTGTGTAGATAAATTAAAAAAAGTTACAATTTCCGAAAGTCTGACTTCTTAACAAATTGAAAAAGGTTGTATGTTAAATTCGCTACCATGGTGGTAGAAGTAAATACATTTAATGTGTTTAGAATAAACAAAAACGTTCTTAATATAAATTTACTTTATCCTATAGCGGATAAAAAGGGTTTTGGCGCTCAGATATTGAAGAGCTTAAATACTCTTTCCGAGATGGGGGACGAAAAACTTTTTATTTGGTCTGAGTTCGGGATGTGTAGGACGCCTAGCTTCTGTCGAAAAAGTTATATTTATTAAGAAAATGTAAACGAAAAGAATTAGTTTCGTAAATATTATTTTTTTATAAAAAAAAAAACTTATATATTCGTCACGAAAGTTCTAGAGGTAATTCGTGGTGGAGAGGTAGTTGTTTTGAAACTTGTTGCCGTCTCTACATTGTGCTGGAGATGCACGGCAGGTCTTGTTATTAATTGGGTGTAGTAGTTATAAGAAGTTAGAAATTAGCTATAAATTATATGCTATTAATTATAAATGCAAGAATTTCTTTTACAAAGTGAACTCGTTTGGACATTTCTGAAGTTTTATACCAAGGTAAGATAAAAATCTACGGAGAATATTTTGTACCTAAAACTTAATATTCTCAGTATACGAGCTTAATATTAAGTAATATGTTCTTTTTAGATTTACAGTTTAAGTGGGCAACAAGAAAATATATATTTAGAATATCATAAAATAAAGATGTGCTTGTCTTACAACACTTAACTTAATAAAGAGTAGGAGACCTAGAATACACATTTTTGGGTAAAACAGTATTTTTTTGAAAATTTTATTTGCGAAATCTATTATTATAAATTGTGTTCGTATAGCGATTTTATTTGTAAGTAGGGAAAATAACAATTCAGTATTATTACATAATAACTTTAATGAATAAATAAAGTAAAAAAAATATATTCAACTAAACTTATTCTATACAACTGGGCAACAAATCTTTCAAATTTTAGTTTGTCTCGTATAAATAGATCCTTCTCCTAATGGAGTATTAATATACACTGCAGAATAATTAGCTTCGGAATATTTAATAACTTCATGTTTTGGTGGGCGGTGTTGATATAGCCTAAACATATATTTCGGTTCTCATTTAATTTGAAATTTCCCTACGAATCGGCGAGGCATTCGCTTCGGACATATTGGCTTCATAAATTCTTGTTGCGGATCGGATTGTAAAATGGATATTCTGAAATGTCAGTTTGATTAAGATGCGTTCATAAGCATTCAATGAAAACATGGTGGCAATTTGTTAGTTGGTCGTCAAAAATTGCTCTAGCTAAAGGTTCGCGAGTATTTCTCAGCTTAATTTGAGTATTGTTATTTAGAATGATGTCACTGAAATTGTCCAACATCACGTTGTTGTGTTTATGGAGAGGCAGATTGTCAGTGGCATTCAATTCTTTAGCGTGTCCACTAATGAATCCTAATTCTCGGCAAATGGCTTCTAGTTCGGATTTTGTATGTTTCGATTTGGTATAGCATTTAGAATGCCAGACGCCGTGAGATCGCATAATTACTTGACCTCTTCCGTACCTGTGAAATAAACAGTGGTTTGAATAATGTATATTACGATATCGTTACAGAATAAAGTGGTAATTGGTATTGAAAGGTTTGAAATAAATAAAAATAGAACGTGAAACTTCATATAAAAAAACTACGTATTGAATAGAAGTTTGGGTATGTACAGTAAGCTTGCAATCCAAAGCGACATTATTAAATGTTTGGGTTAAGGTGCGGTATAATGAAATGGTAAGACTACCTTCATTTCATTTAGTGACAGGTTCCTAGCTCCTACATTTTACTAAATACTATATAAAAAGTTTTCTTTAACAGAATTTTTAAAAACTCTTTTTTTTGTGTGCTCTGTTTTCAGGGGTTCCGTGCTCAAAGAAACCTTATTATTAAGACTTCTGTCCATCCGTCTGTTAGTATGTCTGTCTGTCACCAGATTGTATCTCATTAACCGTGATAGTTAGACACTTGAAATTATCACAGATGATATTTTTCTGTTATCGTAAATATTAAAAAACAGGATAAATAAATATTCAAGGATGCTCCCATATAACAAACGTGATTTTAGTACGTTTCCCTTCATGCGCGAGATCCGCATGTTCTTGGCCGGTTTTATAAAAAAAAACTACGTTTTAGATATTCTTGTAGGATGTAATGGTAAATAATTTGACTTATAATGTTTAAGAAATTTGGAGATACACACGGTGTTCCCTGAGGTGCACTTAGACCGATGCAGGTTTGTTCGTCTTCACCGTTGGGACAATCAGCTATTCCATCGCATACCACGTCGGGGGCTACACAATGGTTCACATCACTAGTTTTTCCACATCTGTAAAAAATTATATATTGTCGAGGCACATTTGAATATAAGTTTAATCGTCAATAACTCTCTAGAGGCAAACCACCTTTGGGTAGGATCACATAGGAAGAATGTGCCGTAACCCATTACAACCATTGCCAGGTGACTGCAAAAATCAACTTTTGCTAGAGTCGCCATCTAGTGGAGGTGCTTTTTAGTGCTTTCGTATTTAGCAACAATGCAAGTTTGTTTATCCTTCTGCTTTGATGCCATTACGGCAGTTTTAATATTAATTCATAATAGGGATGATGACTGGGTAAAAAAAATGCAATTCTATTTAGTCCGTCACTCAGATAATAGAAAAATATTAGATACGTATTTTTTTTTACTTCAACTTAACAAGAAATAGTATATAGATAACAGGCATTAAAGTTGAGGAGTGGGGGCTCGCTACGTCACAGTTGAGCAGAAAACGTACTCTAACGTGACGTCATGCGAAATTTCAACTTAATGTAACGCCGTAATTTTATGATTACGAAAAAATAAAAAAATACGTGTTTAATATTTTTTAACACTCTACCAGACGGAAAACAAACAAAAATTAGTCATCATCCCTATTATAGGTGTGTGAGAATTTATTTTCTAAAGAAATGGAAATAGATATCTATATACTCGTATTTATACACAAAATATATTAAGACAGATAAGTACTCACGGATAAGTTAGATTTGCGAAACATTTACAGAACATTGGGTCCTCGTCACTCCTGTCTTTGCAGTTTAATATACCGTCACATAAGCTTGAAGGCATCACTCTAGCTAGGTATTTGGAACATGTCGAATCTCCGGGTTCATCGGTCTTATCGCCGCAGTCATCATGGCCGTCATTGAACATTTCTTTAGGTATACATTGGCCATTGTGGCATCTGAATTGGTCAACGGAACATACTGAAAAAACAGCCAGACATTTAAATGTGATGAAATTTCATGAATGGATTTTAAGTAATAATCTTTATTGCACATGATACAGAAAAACTTTGGATCAAGGCTTAAAATCATTCGGATATCAAATTACAGTTCTCGACAACCTGATGTTCTATTATCTGTAATTTCAAGTACCTACTTTACCTTTGGCAAATATGTATTGTATAGTATAATGAAAAGGTAAAACCACAGAACTTCTCATATGCTACGTGACCTCATTCACAATTTTTTTCAGCGACCTTTTGAGCAATCTACTAACAAAATAAATTTTGTTTGTTTGTTTTTAGGAGAGTTATCTTCGGAAATAATGATAAGATCATGAAAATTCTTTCACTTACGAGAAGCTACATTATACTCGGATAATATACACTACCTCGTGTGTTCGTAAGTTTTGAGACAAACTTTTTACTGAAAAAATATAATAAAATGTTATTTTATTTATCGATTTTGAATTTGGAATTTGGAAAGTTTTCCTGTAAGCCGTAACTTCGTCTATTACACAATACAGCGGTACAAAGAGACAAGTTCTCTGCAAATTCGCCGAAGGAGTGGTCAGCCACGCTCTGTGAGGACGCCTGCGACTTTGCCAAAATCCATGTCGCACTCGGAAGAAACTCTCTCTGAAGACTAATATTTCGCGCGTTTCAGTAAACAGAATACTGAAATATGAGGTAAAGACCTATAGCCGTAAAAAAGTTCACTTTTTAAACGTTGAGGGAGACTGTGCCGGCCTTCATCGGAGCGGACGAGTGACCCTCCTCCAGTCCCAATCTCAACCCGCTGGATTATTCTTTATGGACTGAATTAGACCTCAGGGCCTGCCGAAAGTCCCACCCACACTTGGAGTCACTGAAGCGCACCCTTGTTCTAGAAGCAAAGCGAATGCCACTAGAAAAGATTCCTGCCGCCATTAATGACTGCTCAAATCGTCTAACGGCCTATATTAAAAATAAGGGCAGTCATTTTGAACAAAATATATATTTTATTGTTGATAACTATCTATTTAATGATTACTGAAAATTATTAAAAAACTTACGCAACTTTTATTTTGTTTCAAAACTTATGAACACACGAGGTATAATTATACGAAGTCGCGGGAAAACAGCTAGTTTAACGTAAATATCGATTACATAATAGTTTATTGTCGATGAATAGGTTTTATAAGCAAAAGAAACAACTCACCGCAACCTTTGCCAGGTGGATTTCTCTTACATATATTTTGTCTCTTTTCACAAGCCTGTTGTGATTCATCGTTTCCATCTTCACATTCCCTTATACCGTTACATAGGCTACGAATATCCACGCACTTTCCTCGTCCACACCTTATTCCTTCACATTTGTCAGAAGTGTTCAAGTTTTTGGAAGAGAAAGCGCCATCTGTATCTGTTTAAGTACATTAGACTTATAGCGGTTTAGGTCCATTATTTTTCCACCTAGAGACTATTTTAGGACGTAGTATTACTTTATTTTTTTGTTTACAAATCTATAGCTCATAATTTATATACACGTACCTACATATGACTTATCTATCACATACAGCCAATTAAGGATTTACGTTTTTCATCAGAAGTATAAAAAGATAATCATAAAGTACCTTAGTAGTAAGTTATTATTCAATTTATCATCAAAACAACAACAAGTTTTGAGAAAGACACGGAAATTTAAGTAAAGAGGTTGTCCAAAGACTAACATAACTTTGGACATAAATTCATTATAAAGTACTCACTTGCATGTTTAATTTCCAGCTTCAAATTTTCAATGTTAGTGCCAATGATGTGATTGAAAGAGCCACATTCGCCTCTGTTATCGATAAATGATGCTGAGGGATACCAGCCTTGTTCCGTGTGACAACTTACTATTCCCGACCACTCGCGACTCGATACCATTTTAGGCTAAAAAGTGTCAAAATACATTAGTTTATTTAGAAATATTACGCTATATTATGTGTATCTACTCATAACAATAACGTATAAAACCTCTTTTGAAGTCTTAGGATTTCTCAGCTTTGTCTTCATTTTATAATTCATATTATCACACAACTTCAAAACGAAGTTTCACGAATCATTAAACCGCCTTTCTAGGTATACAATACTACATGTAATGCTATATTTATATTTATTTTATGACATAGCGCATTATTATCCCGTGTCGGCACCTGAGACACAAAATACCTATCTGTGTTTTGTGCCCGAGATGGATGTTTTTTTACGGTCTTACGAGTATATAAGATACGAGTATATTTTTAAAGCTATCACGAAAAAATGAATTTTGATCTTATGCCGTTTCTATAAATATTTCAGAAAACTACTGAAACGAACCTTATTATTTTTTATTGGATTAACTAAAATTCAGTTTCAAATTGAGAACTTTGTATTGTTTGATATTTGTTACGTTTGAGCGGGCAAAATAATGTGGTTGGATTTACTTCGGCAGATTTATTCATCTGTTAAAACACTCTTTCATTAATAATTTTACTATTTTTTACTATCTCGAGCTCCCATTAGCCTTTTAACATTTCCCTATTCTATTCGATTCCAGTCCCCATTCTATTCACAGAGAAAGACATTTTACTAAGAAGATGCTATAAGACAGAAATACTTACACTGCAAAGTTTTAAATTGTTTTTAACTTTGAAACATTTATTATGCGAGTAACAATTTTCATTAGTTTCTTCTACAATAACACTAACTGTTTTGTTATTTTCATCTTGACCAACTGCTACACATATTGACGGTTTATTATCTGGAATGGTTCTGAAAAATTATAAAGTTGTAGGTAAATTTGGAAGAACTGTTAAATTCATTAGTTAACCTTTAAAATATTACAGCTACTGACGTAGTTTGAATAATCATGGGTTTCACCATACTGGAGTACTGTGCTGATCCATTCAAACGAAGTAAGATTACATTGCTGCGATATATGTCTTTCTTGCCGTTAACAACATATGTTTGTTCAAATGGTCCGCTAGTAGAATTCAGTGTTCTGTGAGATCCAAGAATTACGGTAATGTAATTTTGGCTTGGGCTGTAAGACAAATTAAGAAAATAATATCATTTTTTATTTTAATTTAGAACATGATTTTAGGCTTTAGTATACTTACATTGAATCCCAAAGGCATGCATGGTTGATTAACACCAAACTTGGATCAACTAGAACCCCAGTGCATTTGTATTTTCCTTCGACAAATACCTTGGCGATCCAGGGCCACGTTTGTTCAAGACTAGAATCTGCAGATCGCGCGAACAAAAGATTTTGCGACAGGTCAAAATCAGTGAATAAACTATTATCGCAATAAACATACATAGTCATACAAGTTTTTGTAACATTTGGAATGCATTGCTCTTTAAGAACTTGTGGTTCCTTAATTTCTATATTTCTAGCGTTTCCATTTGAGCTTGATTCTCTATATGTGAAATGAACCTTGGCTCCAGGTCTAATATCTCTTCGAGCTCTATCGTCATTGGCAGATTTTAATATTTCTTCATTAACGTTTAAGTGCTTAAGGCGATATCGATTGGCGGAACTGTAAAAATATTTTTTTATTCTTCTTTAATATAACTAATATTGAATAACAATAATATAACATATAATAAAAATGATTTTATGTTGGGAATAATTATGGGTATGGTAAAATAATTACCTAAATCCTAAATAGTGGCAAATGTGAACAGCAGCTTGTTCCTGTTGTTCTGTTGTTAGATTGTCTTCACAAACTACATGCCATTGATTTTTAACTTTCTTTGTTACGTAACCTTCTAGAAGTGTTTTAGGTCTTTCGTTAAAATCGAAACCAATCTCCTGCCCGTTTGTCAAAGCATCTGTAAAATATTCTAGCATTTTAATGGGTAACTAATTTTTTGTTTTATTTGATGAATTTACTTTACTTCTACAGCGTGTAACATTAAGAACAGTGAGTCGGGGACGTCTGAAACTATAAGACATATGATTATTTGTTCTTAGGAATTTCCTAATAGGTTCCTATCGATATTAATGAAAAAAAAAAACTGCATTTATATATTTTAAACATTACTAGTCTTCAGTTGGAGACTCGAACTTGTACATCTTTCTACTAAACTCGATCAATGACATGCTTTCTAAGAACTAGATGCTTAAAAGTCGTATGTTGTAAGTTTTATAGTTTGACCCATTCCTATACTGACAGTTCTTAGTATAAAATGTGCCTTAGGTTGCAAGCTATCAAATAACAAAATAGGATGATTTCAACTTACAGCAGTCTAGTTCATCTTCACCTTCAGGACAATGACTTATTCCATCACAAACGTTTGATGTTCGTATACAAATTTGGCTTCTACGACATAGGAAACGGTCTTCTGGACAACTGACTGAAAACAAAGATAGACAAAGATAGGTGAATATATTTTTTCATTAAAATAAACTATGATGTTTATTACATTAAGCTTTTAAACAGACTTACAACAATCTGCTTCGTCTAGTCCATTAGCGCAATCAAAAACTCCATCACATAAAAGTTTTTTGTCAAATGAATACAAATAATCTATACAAGTGCATGCTAATTCATCAGTTCCGTCTTCGCAGTCAGCTTTTTGGTCGCAGCGATATTTATAGGGTATCATCTGATTTATTCTATAAAAATTACAACATTATTAACAATATTCTTTTTACTATAGTTAAATAATAAATATATATATATAATAGCACCAACGCTTACAGTACTAAAAATAATTGGTGATTTTAATTTAAAATTAATGTAGCAATCGTATATATTTAATGATTTCAAAATTGTAATTTATTTTGTATTCCACACAAATCGAAAACATCACAACTAAAGCTCATTAAACACAATATATACCTACAGAGACAGTTTAATTCAATTACAGAAATCTTACCGTCGACATTCAAAATCCTTTGGAGTAAGATGTTTCTTTCTAATTTTTGCTGGTTGCAATTCAGATAAAACGATATCTTCCATCTTATGTATGACGTCTAGTTTATCATCGAAACTGCTAATTGTTTTAGTTGAGGGTTTCGGATTTGATGCCACAGTTCCAAAAAGCTCTATGTTTTCGGGTATTTTATTATCAAGTTGATTATTTTCAATATTTTGTATATTATTTTCAGTCAGTGGCAAATCTACTTTGAGAGACTTGAATTCACTTATACTGTCGTTTTGTGCGGTTAAAGATTTTCCATCTATTATTTTTGGTTTCATATCTAAATTTGGAGTTGGAATTGTTGTAATTGGAGCTAAAGTTGTTTCAACATTTGGTAATTTTGTTTGGTCAATCGATTCTGTATTTATTTTTATACTTGAAACAGTTATAGTTGATTCTAAATTAGCCCAATCCTCTTGAATGTCACTTGCTCTGGCTTTGTGTATATTTTCCGATATTGATGATCTAGATTCTAAGGGTATTTGAGAACTAGAAGTTGAAAAAGAGTTGATTGAATTTTGATTAGAAAATATTGAGTCGTTATCATTTGTTGCTATTGGATCTACGGTAGCATCTTCTGGGATTGCTTGAGTGTTTTCTTCGTTGTTTGAAAGAGACATTTCTTGTGTAGATGCTTGCCCTAAATCGTTTGTTATTTTTTCATTAACTAAGCTATCATTTTTAACTCCAAAATCTTTAGAATTAGTCAAATTTTCTTCGCTAGCAGAATTAGATTCTGATTCTTTTGTGATTTTATCACTTTCTCGAGTTTCTGGAAAATTAGATTCTTGTAATTTTTTGATGTCTTGAACTTTTGACGTACGCGATAAAAATACATTTTCAAATGATCTCATCGAATTGCAGTTCATTTCATCTTCACCATTGAGACAGTCAACAATTTTGTCACAAACACGTTTATCTGCTAGACATTTTGATATGCCAGAACTGCATTTGAATCCAGGGCATTTTTGTGAAGGTTGAATAGACGGTAAAATCTTAGAACCTGGAAGTATTATTTTCTGTTATAAGGCAGGTATTTATTATATAATTGTTTAAAAAGCATTACTAAGAAAACTTATGTATTCTTATATAGTTTTCACCTCTGTATGTCATCAATTCTTGTAATACATCATTGGGTCTTACTTACCGATGTTATATTTTATCCACTTCACAAAGAGGCTGACTCTAGTATAAACTCCGGGTTCACCTTTGCGGGCACACCCGTCTCCGTGGCTTACAATACCAGCTACATACCATTGTTGTAAATTTAATGGATTTCTGCACAGAAGTGGTCCCCCGCTGTCTCCCTGTTAATCGAATAAGAATGTCTGTTTAATCGGTGGTCACAAGGATTGTACAATCTACTAAATTTCTTGGGAGATCACAAAATAAGAAGCAAATCTTAAAAACAATGGATGTAGAACCTGTAATTGTATACAGCTGTTACATGTTACTTGTTGGCATAGATTGCACTAGATAGGCCCTTTATCAGAATTCTTTTGTCTTGACCAATGTGGCCACTTAATTGGCCACTGCTATAAAATTTTTTGCTTATACATACATATCATCCCGTATTTCTATATCATCGATGACAACTACGCCCCCGTGATAACACTTAATATATGCGAGTTGTTTTGATTAAAAAGAGGAGAGAGACGATATTTTTGTATCTAATATCATATACTTAATAGTTATTAAATGACATTGGGTAGGTGACCAAAGATTAATAATCTCGACTCTCTCCATTAAGTACGCTAAGCCGTTCCAGCCTATATGCAATATCTGAGCCCAAGCAATCCTCCCATAAATAGGCTGATGATGATCATAGGTATAATTGTAATTTATTACAGTTACCAACCTGACAAGCATCTCTGCCTCCTTCCATTAATCCCGCACATATTTCTTTTCCCTGACGATCTTCAGAGTGTTTACAGTTTTCCCATATTGGTAATTCAACTTCACGCATGTGATCCGCTATAAAATAATTGAGCACGATTAAGTAGATAAAACGTGTTCCAAATATTATAAAAAATCAATATGTGCATTTTCCTCGTTGATGAGACAAAGACAGGAGAAGAGTCAAAATATTTTTAGTCATTACTCGTAAACCATTGCTATTATTCTGAAATTCCATTCCATCTCAGATTGTAATGGCTGCCGGGAGTGGTTTCGACTTCTGACAGTTAAAACTATACGGTTATGTACTACAAGTGAAAATATAGAATTCTGTTATATGTACGGGAAATATGGACCATTTTAACTTATAAATATTTAACAAAATAAATTTTATAACTGAGATGTTAAAAAATTTTTCTTTTTCAAGTTACACAAAACGTAACAACTTTTATTATAAAAGCTATAAACATAAACGCACAAATAAATATATTTCATAGATTGCCTAAACGCCCATACGTTTTTCGCTACCGTAGCACTCATTTAGTAGATTGAATTTGTAGGGAGCGTTTTCGGCTGACTAGCAGCAGTACCACAAACTAACGTGCCACAATAAAAAAAAACGTATTTTTGTTGTAAAGTGACTCACATATTAAATAACTTCAACTATAAAAAGGTATCTGCTTAAATTTTTTCATCTTCGTTAAACTTTTGAATAGTCTTTTAGAACTTATGGCAAGGCTTCTTATATGATTAAAAAAAAATAATTTAAGCTTTTCGACTTACGGTCAGGGCCATGTTCTATAGTGGCACCCCATCCGACTGCAGTACACATAGTACCAGGCGAAGGTCCCCACATCCAATCACGTCCAGCCGTGTTCAAGCCAGGTAAACAAATGGGCCGTACCCAACGACTGAATTGAATAGCAGATTCCACTCTCAACAGGGACAGGTCGTTTTTCATATCTTCCCGGTCGTATTTTTGATTGACTATCACATGAGTGACGCGATGATTCTGTTCTTGAGGCGAAAACGAGAAACGTCGAAGCATACCTACCTGTATTTCGTAGTAGTGTTTCCAGAATCTGTAATTATTGCTTTTCGTTATATGTAGTTATATATAAGAGACTGTAAATATATGTTTATAACGATAATACTACAGGATAATACAAGTATAAAAAATGATCGGAGAAGACTATAAACGAAGTCAGTAAAGTTGGAATAGTATGAGTATTATTGTATCGTGATATATTTTGTGTTATCTTTGATCACAGTTCATTGCGTCTAAGAGAACTATTATATCTCGTAGCATTATTTAGTTCTTAGTAGAGCCATTATTTATAACGTTAACTCACTCATGAACACAATGGGCAGCTGATAACACCCACTGTTGCGTCAAAATTACACCCCCGCAATGGAACATTCCGTTTCTGTACATCGCAGCTACCCACGGCCAAGCCGCAGGTTTACTTGGTCTGCCTCCAACGACTCTACTCTGTGCTCTCTTCGATCTAAAATCAGTACTTGGATTTCTAGTAGATTTTCTTTTAGTTAAATAATGTTGTTCGTTAGATCCTCTTCGGTTGTAAGACGAGATATAAGGAAGTCCATTTACTAGGAATCGCTTGTTTCTGCCGTATAGATGATTTTCAATGGCTGCGTTCTGAAATATAATAATAGTGATTTGTCAGTATATAGAAATAAATAACTAAATGTTTTTTGATGAAAATCCATAAAGCTATTATACTAGAGTAGAAAAGAAGAAGACGTATGAGTGTAAGAGATAATATAACGCCATTAAAAGAGACGGAAATTCGCAGTAACCCATCAGTTGCTCTATACTCGCAAATGCACGGTAAAAGATAATAAGATTCTCGTATAATATAATCAAATCAATTTTAATATCGAAAATTATAATATAAAATTATAATCACACAAATGGGGAATCGTGATCTTCTCTCTTCTCTCTCTTACTAATCTAGTAACGTTTCGAGTCCTGGCTAACATACTCCATTATAATTCGCGATCCAT